GGGGTTTAAGTTATGGACTGTAGGTGAGGACAAGTCACCCAGACTGCAAATCTTGAGGTCTTCAGTCTGACACTGGTCCTACAGCTCCCTTTATAAGGCCTTCGTTACCTCAAATGGCTGCTTCCTCTGCTGCCACTCTAGCCTGTTTGGAGGACTTCTCTATTGCTTTTTTTGGGGCAGGGTGTGACAGGACCACAGGGCCTCTGACAGGGAGGCCTCTGGGCCTGGTCCATCCTGTGACACTCCCTCAGGGACCCATAGTCATTGTGAAGCATATAACACACTTTGCACAGAATCTAACATTAATGCACATGTCCTTTCCCCAGTTTCCTTCCCACTGTAGAGCACGTTTTGGGTTGGAGTCTGAGTTTCTTCAGTTGTCTAGAATCCTTAGAGCAATTTGGGATCAAAAAAGTAGGCTGGACCCCTTAGACTGTGTATGCTGGGAAAGCTGGCTCTCTCCTGCTTCATGCTTCCTCTTCTTGTTTGGGAATTCTAGTCCTGTACAGGTTTTTAACAGAGTAGCTGGCCCATTCAGGGAAACAGGGCTGAACGCTCCTGTTCCAGTGGAGATGTGCACCAGATGAGGGTAATCAAGAAAATGAGATTCCCCATGGCAGTTGTATGTTCAAAAGGCTGAAAGAGCTGTTTATAGATATGCCCACTCTGGCAAATTCCTCATTAGCGATGTAATTTCTCAGTAAATGAAAGCCTGGCTCATGATCTCACAACTGACTCTCAAATGGCTGGATTTTTTAAAAATCATGTCCCCAAAACATGATTTATGATTAATTTTACTGACAAATCACTGGGGTGTTCCCACTGTCAATAAACTCTGGGTGACCAGAGCCCCCATTGCCTGTCAGCTCTGCTCTGCACTCCCACTGCCAGCCACCCATGGCTGAGAGAAGGATCCCCTCCTCACAGGGCAGGCTGATAGTGAGAGCCCCTACTACTACTGCAGAGAGAGGCTCTGACTGTCATTCATCCCAGCTGGAGCACGGGGCAGCAGGCCCAGACTCCTACTGTCAACCCTTGGATACGGTGGGGCTGGGTCCTTCTGTCTACCCCAGGTGCAGGGCTGTGAGGGCTCCTGCTGTCAGCACCCAGCAGCTGCTCCCCTGCCAGACTGGGAAGTGGGAGAGGGGACCCCAGGACTGGGGAGGATGAAGAATGGTAAAGAGGAGAGATGAAGATGGGGAGGATGAACTATGGCATGGGAGCTGCAGGGGGACTGAAATAAGGAGGGTGGGGGTAAGGTGGGTGTACTGAGGGGGGGTTCTAAGTAGATAGGTAAGCACTGGGAAGGTGAACTGAGGATGGTAGCAGTTATTGGAGCATGGAGGAGCTGAATTGAGGGTGTTGTGATGGTGCAGGTCAGGAGGACTGAACTGAAAGGGGCTGGATGGGGGCAGAACTGATCGGAGACTGGGGGGGACAGGATTATTTGCTGGGCAGAAGATGGGCAGATGTAGGGCAAAAGTTCCTGTAGAAGGGACCAAAATCACCATATCCAGTACATGGAAGAGTGGGCAACACTAAGTATCCCATGCACAAACCCTAGGGATGGGCTTGGGGAACTCAAAAATCAAGAGACTGACCTAAAACAGACACTAGAATATTGTATAAAATGTCATGGTTCTGGGGAGTCCAACTCACAATTTCTGATCTCTTGAAGTCAGCAATACTGAGTTTAGAACCCGGAGGCCCAAATCCTGAGAGTGAGAGGGACTAGAGAGAGTTTAGAACAGTGACGGGCAACCTGTGGCCCACAGGCCCATTAGGGTTCTATGTCTGACCCGTGAGATATTTTGTTTACCACATTCCGGGGTACCAATTCCACTGGTTCCCATCTCTCTAGGTTTTTCCTACCTGTATTACAAAAGTGACATGAACATAAAGCAGGAGCATGTGAAGCAAGGTACATGCTGATTGCATCCTGCAAATTCTAGGTACACAAGTACAGTGAGCAAAGCTACCCTACCCAGTGCTGTAAATAGGTATTTTTGCACTCGGGGCAAAATATTAATTATGCGCCCCCTCTCCTTAGGTTTGCACCTGTCACCTGCCCCCTGGCTAGACCTCCACCAGTCCCCTGCTCCCTCCCTCCTGACCAGACACCTATCCTCAGCTTGCTCCCGTATCCTACTTTCTACCCAGATTCTGCACGCTCATCCCTATCCCACTCACTAGCAGCCCTGTCCCACACACTAGAACCCTCATTTTTGGCCCCACTTCAGAGCATGGAGGAGCCCACAAAAATCCACTAACTCTGGAACTCCAGAAGAGTTAATCTGGCCTGAGGCCTTGAAACTCAGTCCTACCTCCCCTCCCACTATGGGGCTGGAGTGCCAGGGAAGGAGGGGGGTGTTCAGTTGGGTTGAAGGTTTTTTTTTTTTCTTTCTTTCTTTTTGCATCTCACTAGTGTGAGTCCTGACTGATTTTTCTGTGGGTCTGTGACCTCTGACCCAAAACAGGTTCCCCGCACCTGCCATAAATAAAGACAATGCTGTAATGTTTTGTGTTGGACATAATATTTTACTTTATTTAAAAATGAAGCCTGGCCAACAAGACCCCAATTGGGGCCAAGTCCTCATCTGGCTGGATCATCATAACGCTCCTGCACCCCCCTATACCTCAACCCTGAGCCCATCATACATCTGAACCTCCTGTCACTTTTTTTTTCTTTTTTTCTTTTTGCATCTCACTAGTGTGAGCCAGTCTTGTGCCACAACACTCCTGACCCATCCACACACTGCAAACCTGTGTCCTGAGCCCATCATACACCCAATCTCCCTGCCCTAAGCCCCTCATACACCCCAACCTAAACTCCTGCACCCTCACAGCCACAAGCCTGGGGCCTGCTCAGCACCCCAACCCTCCACCTGAGCCCAACACTCACCAGTATGGAGCTCCCTCCCCTTCTCCACCTCCTCTTGCACCCAGATTCCCTCCCAGAGCTTGCACCTCTCAACCCTTCCCACATCCAAATCCCTCATTCCCACCCCAGAGCCTGCATCTCCTGTCTCAACCCAGGGAGAATAAGTAATGGCTGGGAACAGCAAGCAATGGAGAGGAGGGGAATGGAGAGGGTGGGGCCTCAGAGAAAGGATGGGGTAGATCTTGGCTTGCCCTGACATTTAAAAAGTGATCTTGAGTGTAAAAAGGTTGGAAACCACTCAGTTACAATAAAGCTAGTTTTCTAAGGATGCAGCTAAAGACTGGCCAGTTTTTCCAGAAAATCAGCCGCTTTTCCGGAAAAACTTGCCAGCTGTCTACACTGGCCGCTTGAATTTCCGCAAAAGCACTGACTTCCTACTGTAAGAAATCAGTGCTTCTTGCGGAAATACTATTCTGCTCCCGTTCAGGCAAAAGTCCCTTTTGCGCAAAGCTTTTGCTCAAAAGGGCCAGTGTAGACAGCTCAGATTTGTTTTGCACAAAAAAGTGCCATTTTCGCAATCGGGGCTTTTTTGCGGAAAAGCGCATCTAGATTGGCATGGATGCTTTTCCGCAAAAAGTGCTTTGCGCCATGCCAATCTAAACGCTCTGTTCCGAAAATGTTTTTAACGGACAACTTTTCCATTAAAAGCATTTCCGGAAAATCATGCCAATCTAGACGCAGCCTTATTGTTCAGGTGTTTGCATATGAATAGGGCTGTTGAGTCCTAAGTACCATTCCAGTCTCTCTGTTGTACTGTACAAGATATGTCAGTTTATACTGGAGCCACATACATATAGGCATTCACGAAACAGCTTTTTACAGTATGCACCAGAATTAGTAAGTTATAAAGAGATAGCCCCAACTCATCAAAATAGCAAAAAGTTATAAGACCATATTTACTTTTAAAAGCTGTCTTGCATCTGGCATAAAACCCAAACATTTCTAGAAGGGAAGGGATTAATAGAATAAATTTGATAGTATTAGATGGGACAAAACATAAGGCACTCAGACTAAATTAATTAATGCCCTGGTGAATTCAAGAGTATCGTATCCTCCCAGAGCATAAACACAGCTCAGAAGCTGTATTTAGGAAGCAGAATTAGGCTGCACCTGTTGGGTTTCAAACTGAATGCAGGCCTTGTTTCAATATTCCAGTTGGGACTGGCAGTTGCTGTAGGGATTAAATTATTTAAAGCCTTCAGCTGGCGAGTGTAGACAAGCTGTATTTTATAAAACACTTAATCTAGTTTTTAAAATCTCTTTATATGGTTGATTTACTCAGTCTAGATAAGTATATATGACATGTACCTGCTAATTCTAAAACTCCTTTGTATGAAATTTAAAATTTATTAGAAATAATGTTAAACATTAACCATTTGCTTTTTTCTTACAAACACTTTTTGTGAAATTGTCTTCAGGAAACGATGGAACTATATAAAGGGAAAAAAATCCCAAACAAACAAAAAAAGCTTCCAGTTTAAATTTCTTTTATATGGGCTAGATTTTGCAACTGTATGGGTGCTCCTACACTGAACCATAGGTCAAAATAAGATATGCAATTTGAGATATGCAAATTGCATCTCTTATTTCAATGTTATTTCGAAATCGTGACAAATTTCGAAACAAGCTATCTACACAGTATTTATTTTGAAATGAATCACTATTCCAAAATGTCCCTTGCTCCTCATGGAATGAGGTTTACAGGGATGTCGGAATAGCAAGCTCATTAGATTTCAAAATAACGGGTGTGCTCAAAAGATGTGGAATAGCTATTTTGGGATACCAGTGGTATCCTGAAATAGGCTACGGCTGCACTGCAGTGCTATCTGGCCCAGGCAGTCTAGCCTTCTGGTAATTAACTATTGTTTTCCTTCACAGTTTCTTTAAAGAAAACAGGTAACATTCTAAAAAGGTACTCTCAAAATTCTTCTTCTTGACTTTTCAGATGGACTATGATTAAGAGTAATCGCAAAGTGTTTGAAATTCTGGAAATATTTTCATTATATAGTATTAGTATTGGGGACTACCTGTGCAGAAGAACAATAAAGCAGATCAAAAATAGTTCATGTAGTCTTCCTTGTTACAAGATGTTTTATTTCTTTCTAAAAAGTTAACAGTAAGTAATAAATAATTACATATGGAGTAGACAGATACCATTCGGATAGTTCTGCAACACAGGATTAATTAAGTAAATCCTCTTACGTCGATTTGCCATTACTTAGCTCTCTAGTTTATTTTTTTATTGCTTGCTCCCATTAATGTATTTTTCCTGTCAGGGTTGATTATTCTGGTTTCAGTTGCTTTTTCTGCATCAAAATGAAGCACAAATGTACATCCTCTCAGAGCAAAGAATAATAATACATCCAGATATAGTCAACTAATATTACTTACACTCACTATTAGTTCTTTTTAATCTAACAAGAGGATTTCTGTATGACTATTTTAAGGTAAAAGTATGTATTTTGGGCACAAATACAAAAAAAACCAAAACCTGTATACGGATATATAGTCTTCTTATGGTGTGGGGATTTGGAAACCTATGTGCTAACAAAGAAGGGTGAATCATCATCCATGAAAATAAGATCACTTCCAGAGTATATAGTATGTATTATATTTTTAGAAACCTTTGTTCTTTTTCTCCTACTTCCCTGCCTGATGCCTCTATGCTGTCTCAGTTGTATGGAAAGTAAGAAAGTTGAATTTTATTTTCAGTAGCTCTTTGACCTGCTGTGTAAGCTCTGGCAAATCATTTTATGTGAACACAGGAATCAGAAATTTACCTTCCATTATAACTGCTTTGAGATGTATTTATGGAGAGAAATATGGTGTAGTTGAATATTACTAGTGAATTTTAGTAAAATCAGTTTTATGATATAGCCAGTGCAAAGTTATGAATCCAATGTATCTATTCTGGATTTTGATTTGCCAATGTGCAGTGTATACTTTTTAAATTTAAAGTACATGTTGTGACGTCTCAGTGAAGTCCTCTTCCATCTTAAGTAAGGAAGAGGAATTTAGGTATATGATCATTTCACGTGCAGATGGGAATAAACTCAAAACTGATGATGGAAGGAATGGTGGTGAATAGTAAGAAAAGGGAATGACCAGAAAGTCTATAGTGTAGATAATTAATTATTTAAAACAAACATTTTAAAATTTAAACCAGATTTTAATAGATATGTTCTTCAAAAAACATTGTATCTAAAGATAGTTTTAATTAAGATCTTTGTGCTATAATGTATCTCATCATAGAAAACAGATAAGTTTTAATTTTACAGTATGAGACAATATATTCATATGGTGTTTAAAAAGTTTTGCAAATAAGTTCTACAATTCACTGATCAATTATTTTGATATTGGCATAGAGAGTATGCTTATTAAGACTGCAGAGGATACCAAGTTGGGAGGGGTTGCAAGTACTTTGGAGGAAAGTGTCAAAATTCAAAATGGTCTAGATAATTTGGAGAAGTGGTCTGAGGTAAGTAGGATGAAGTTTAGTAAGGACAATCTGTTTCACACAGATAGAATGGATGTGACTGTCTAGGAAGGAGTACTGCAGAAAGAGATTTAGAGGTCTGGGGCCATGCATCTGCCCCACACTGGCCCTTTAAGGGGTTAAAACACAGCCCTGGGTGAGGGCTGGAGTCATGGAGCAAGCAGCTATAGCAGATTGCTGGGCCTTAATTGGCAGCTGTGAACTTTATAAATAAGGGCTGCCAGGGAAGCTAGATGCTCCCTGATTTAGAGCAGGGCTGGGGAAAGTCAGGCAGAGCTGGGGGAAGTTCTTGCCAGGAAAGCTCCCAGGCTACAGGGCCTGTAGCAAAGCCTCAGGGTCCCAGGGCTGCGGGGAGACAGCCAGGATAGGCAAAAGCAGCAGGTCCACACCCCCTTGCTAATGATGAATGGCCATGTCAGACCGCAGTTTTGCCCTTGTGGTAGGAACTAGACAAAGACTGGCAATGGGTCACTGAAGTGAGGAGGGCATAGGGCCATGGTCACCAACAGGTCGATTGCGATCGACTGGTCGATCGCGAGGCCTAGACCAGTTGATCGCGAGGTGTCCTGTCTGCCCTGCCCCCATTTCCCTCCCACCCCAGAGAAGCTCCACTACCTACCTCAAGTGAAAATGGAGGTAGTGTTGGCTTCCCAGGGATGGACAGAAGTCCCGCAGCTTAGCGCCACTTCCGACGATTCCGGAAGTAGCACTAGCTGCTCTGCCGGGTGTACTGCGGGAGGGAGAATCGGCTCTCTGTACCACATAGGAGGGGTGAGTCAGCCCTGGGGGAGGCACGCGCGTGGGACAGTCGGCCCCGGGGCAGGCGCACGCGGGGTTTCCCTGAGGCGGGGGGGGGAGGGAATCCCGGGAGGAGGCAGATGCAGGGGACTCTCTGCCTCCACTGGCACCCCACTCCCCAGCCACAGAACTCTGTCCCCACCACCCTGTCCCCAACAACAGCACTG